AAAACTATGATAGTGACCTATCACGCAATATTTCTCATTCGAAAGGCATTGTATTCTTTGGCCGTCCGATTAAGATAGACGGTTCATTATCTTTCGTCTTAATATGGTGTATAGCTGTGACGATGACGGACCCAAATGGAGACGCTGACTTGTTTGACGATTGAAGGAGGGAGGACAGAGCATAAATGTCGGTGGCGAATTCCATCATATTTATTATTGTCTCATAAAATAGTGATCTAGTTGAGCGAACCACAGATCGGGGCAACTACGAACAAATTCTGGTAGTCGGACAATCGCAGTCTTAACAGTGTCAATCCACCTGTGACAAATTACATTTATGCTCAAGGCATTAAATTTGGATTGAGTCTAACAAGTGATATATGACCAACGTACTACTATAATATGAACGGTGCAAAATAATAACTAAGACACAAATACTTTACGATAAAGAGCCATATATATCTATGTTAAAGATAATCAGAAGGTTCACTTTTACGACAAAGCAAAAAGAAGTGAACCAGAAATTCATTTTCGTATTCAAAACAGGGCTGAGGAAACTCGTGCCGACAAGTGTCCCTCGTTCCATCGATAGAAGGAACCAGACTAGTAGTGAGTAGGACTTCATTTGAATCGTGGAACAGAACCTTTGGGACGTGAGGTTATGTTTTTTCAAACACAAATTTTTCAACGTTCAATAGAAGATGATAGGAAATGTATTGCCCGTGCAGAATAAAGAGACGGATGGAATCATGAGCTATGATGTTTTGACATTACTAATATGTTTGCGGCCAACTCATGGTTATTCAGTCTATGTTGTTATTATATCAATAGCTTCAGACCATTCTGCATCAGTAGTGTAAAAAGACTCTGACCTAATTTTGAAAAAAACACTCGCGGTATTAACGTGTTTCTTGGGACCTTTTGGGAAATGTGTTCTGTGCAAATTATTAGTTCATCTTGTGTTTGCCCTACATATATTTTCAATTATTCAACCTGAGAATTGCAAACGCGACAGGTAGTCCACTGTTAAAAAGATATCGTTCCCCTCCCTCTGAACTGGATAATTGCATGTCTCAAAACACTATTGACCAAAACGTTGTCATTTAGTCTGCATAAATCAGGATATCAAAGTTCTAGACATATCCATAATCAGCTGAAAATGAACAGCCTAAATAAACCCAAATGTTGAAATAAAAACTATCAAGCTCAAAACATGAGGTTAATGTGCTTAGACTTTTGTTGTAAATGTCGTTATCCATTCAATGGCTTCAGGAAGATTTGTTTGACATTTTCGATGAGTAATTAATTATAAATAGTTTTTCTGTGGTAATTTCAAAGACAATAGCCGTTGAGACTTTGTGCCAACGTTGACTGTCGTTTGTTGCTTTACGTAGTAAAAGTAAGTACATCGTGTCCGCTTGATGGGTCATCGACTCGCCTCTTGATCTTCTCTTTTATAGTCCTCCCCACTCACTCCACGCAAAGTACCTTCTGGCTACATGCAAGCCGCCACATAACGTTGCTTAATCTTTTTACTCAGAGTCATTAACCACGTATTGCTTGTAATCGATCATAAAAGCCAAGTAAAACTACATTAAAAGTTCTTTAGGATTTTTATATTTCACATTAAAATAGTCTTATGTGGATCCAACATATATTCACCCGTTAAATTGTCGGAAAGCTATTTTATCTTTTTGGATTGCTGTTTCTCTTGAGGATTTTAGTTTTAGTGTGCATAGTTGGTTCCCATAAGCTATGTATGCGGAAAATCCTTCTTGGTGGTGGTGTTATCAAATTTAGTTCATTTAAACGAGCTTTGTATTTAACTGATCCTAAGGTCGTATAAATTTATTTCCAATGAAATGTTTGTCAAATACGTCTAGATCCACGTTTGTGTCACTGTTATTTTGCCCCTTTCAAGACGTCCTTAATGATTTATTGCCCTTTTTCTAGCAGGCTTTTTCTCTGTTGGTCATTAGGTTTTGGTTGTATGCATTTACAGACAACTGGAAGCCATACTGACTAAATGTCACCATTCGCCAAGTAGATTGTCTGTAACAAATCTGTGATAAAATTCCAATATCTTTGTCACCAACGTGTGTAAACCAATTGATTTCCTTACACCCTCTTGTTTCAGTACCGTTCCATGTAATTGGTAATGTTCAATGGGTGTTAGTCTAGTCACTCGACTGCACTAATTTTAATAAGTCTGCTAGTTATTTGCAGATTTGATTATTCTTTAGTTCAAGTGAGTGCATTTGTTTCAGTACATTAGGGATCCTGGATACCGGCAGCTATCAGATCATCAGACGGGGCTGGTTGTTTGTAATTCAAAGATAACAAAGTGATAATTCGATTTCTATAAGATGAATATTTCAGAAATCATAAGTTAGTTAATTGGTAGTGTGGACAGCATGAGAAGACCGAAATGTAAAACAAGGGAAAATGGAGATGATAATAAGCAAGACAGGAATTAGTGTGATATGATAATTTTCAGTAAATATCATCACTTTCATCTTAATTGTGTCGTGATATGATGATAATAGCATTAGTGTATTATGAGACCAACCAAACACAGCTGGCTCAAATGAGAAATGGTAATCCATGGATTAGCACGTGTTTATTAAGTCTCCTCCTAAAGCCGTCCACTGAAGGGGTTATGGTCACTTCGCCTGGGAAAGCATTCTAAATAGGAGCAACTCTTAATGAGAAAAAGTGAGAGCGTGCCTGGGTTCTTGTTCTTTAATGTGCAGTTTTCGGTGAGTTGCCTTGAGAAGCGTAGTGGTAATGTTCTGATAGGATACTCGTGTTGGGGTGACTTGGTGTACTTAATATATATGCCATTATCAGATCGCTTCTTATTCTCCTGTAGCTCAATGAAAATAACCTCAGGTGTTGAAGTCAGTCTTGGTAAGATTTGTTTTAGACCCGCCACACGTTTGGTTCCCTTTCTCTGTACTTGATCGAAGAGATTCATGTCTCGAAAAAGGAAAGGTGCAAAAAAATTGTGGACTTCAAGGTAGAGCTGTGTGTACGTTTTGAAGAGAGTTAAGAATAACTCTGGGGTTACTGTGTTGAGTTGTCTCCGGTTAAAGTGAAGAGTCACGTTTACTTTGCCTGCATCCTTTCCATAGTTTTAACTTGTGTCCAAGTTCTCTGTGGTTAATAGCCCGTGATCACCCTCTGAGGAGACAATCGGGGTCGGATTTCCATGGCGTATGCAAGTTCTTTGTGTCGAATAGGCCAGAATGTTTATGACATGATATTTCTACAGGTTATTTCTTAACTCATTGTTTGTTTCTCATTTTATTGTTGTAAGGTCAGTCGCGGAAATCTCAACAGAGGTAGATAGTACAGAATGGAATTACCTATTTCTGGTATTCTATGGTCTCTAGTTATGTATCAAAGATTCAGTTTAAGTTAAAGTGGTGGACACGGAGAGCCTATCAAGGGAAGTTGGAAAACACTGGTTCCAAACCAATAGTCCACATGGGTTCCAGTATTCTGAAGGAACAAACGGCGTATGAACCAATCGTTGGTCATCGGCTACCATGGGACTGCATTTCCTGACATTGCTCCACTGTCTTAATGTTCAGACCTTTAGATCGAAGGCACCGGGTGTGGCCTCCTAAGAAAACCACCCGCTTCGGTTTGGGCACCTGGGAAGTACTCCAGCCCTCACACAAATCAAATGAGATTTATGTGGCGCATATGTATCTGGTGCCTTTTTGTACCAATATTTATGTGTTTAAATAAAAAAATAAAGCTGCTATCACGTCGCACCAGAAACCATCCTGTTGCTTTATGATCGAGAATAATTAGGAGGTTAAACACGTGTACTCGTCAGAAAACACTGCATTTCCATTCTTACCCTTAATTTCTATAGGTGTTTACAAGGAAATGAAGAAGTTAATCAATAGGGATGAGGCCTCTTCCCATGGATCATACTAAACACTGGAATATGTCAAAGCTAGGGGCGACTGTAGTGACATTGGTTACATAACCCTTGCAATTTGTAACATGTAAAACGTGTCCATCAATCTTAAATTTTCATCTTCACGATCATCCTCGATTCCCATAACTTCTTTATATATACAGTGCTGTTTTCTGTACCCCCAATACGTATATGAGAATAATCGATATGCCCTCTCGAACCATTTAAAGTCAGACTAATCAGTCATGCGACGCAACTTATAGAGCGGACTAAGGACACCACCATCCAGTAGAGAACATCGTGAATCGCTACATACACAAATAGTATGCGTTACAGGAGAAGCTCAAAGTATTTAACTGACTGTAAACTGTTACTGTGAACATTATTATTTTTACTGGGTTTTGGATATGACTTTTACCCAAACTTCGGACGTATTTGTTCATAATTTTGACCCTGACCTCTCGCTATTTGAGTCGTAAGTCACGTGTGTACTAGTCGACTGTGCTTCAAAAACGTACCAGGGCAGAAATCAGACTTTACAATATATGCGCTTGCAACTTTAAGAACCCAGTAAATTGTTCAGGCAGTAAGATCGAGAATAAAATATCCGGAACTTAGGTTTTGTAAATACTGACTACAATTAAAATTGTATAATGGATGATTAGATATCACAAAGAAGGCCGAAAACTGATAGAAAAATCGAACTTCGCAGGGTGAAATGGCGATTTCCACCGTTTTACATACTTCATCTGTTTTATAAAATTAAACTTTTCAGTAAAAGGTGAGAGGATACCTCAGTTCTCGAAGTTGTTTATTTAACATCATATAATAAATTATATTCAATACCTTCTTTGTTTAGTAAATGTTAATATTATTTTCTCCTTTTCAGACAATTATTTGAATCTATCTCATTGTATTGAAACTAAGGAGACAAAATCATTTGACTCCTGATAATCTTCATCTGCAACAGTAATACCAACAATTAAGGTGTACAAAACAGAAGGGAACGGAACTTGTTTATATTTTCACAAGAAAAGTAGAAATTATTTATTGAATTTTAGTCAAAATGACATTACCTTTGGAACGCATCTATATTGGTATGTTAGGTGTTGGGACTGTTGGTAAAAGTGCATTAACATTGCAATTTATGTATGACGAAGTGAGAATTGTATCAAGTTATTTTTTGATTCCAGATTATTTAGTTTGTTGATGAATATGAACCAACAAAATCGGATTCTTATCTGAAAAAAGTTTCTTTAAGAGGATATGACGTAGAAGTTTCAGTTCTTGACACAGCCGGTAAGTAGATAAATAACGAAAAAAATAATACCAATAAATATAAAATTTTCATTCTGCCCTTATAAAACAATAAATAAAGTAATGTGCAATTGATTAATATAATCCAGTCAACACTACAAAGGACTTTATGTGTATATGAAATGGGTCACTGTGTAGTGACCAATCAATTGTAAATATATCTTATCTCTACAGGATGTCGTTCGTGGCCCGAATAGCTCAGTGGTAACGTCTCTAACTTTAAAGCTGGATAGCACAGGATAGAATTGGTCATGGAGCACCAGTTGGTGAGACTATAAATTATGGACGACTTTTGAGCGACGCTAAACTAACCTTGAGAGTGTCCACCTACTTACTAGAGCTAAATAATGGTTATAAACCTGTGTGAAGGATCCGAGACCTGTTATCTTATACCTGATTGGTTCGTCCATAAATTATAGTCTCGCCCACCAGTTTCCTCAAGATTACAGGCACACTTTGCTGATAAGCACCAAATAACACGAAAAGTAGGTCAAGTCACTTAAACTAGTGGCCACACTGAAACTTAATCGATATAGTACAATCGACATTAAGAAGGACTTGACATACATAATGTTGGTCACTTTTGGTTGACCTATCAATTATAGAGTAGAGAAATTATCTTTTCAATTGATTAATGACTTAACAGGTTACAGGTATGTAAAATATTGGTTTACCACATGCTTTTAGTTATTGCGTGTTCGATTATTTACAGTAATATGACTAGAACGAATTACCATGAATTGTAATTTGCATAAACTGTGTATCTACCGTACTTTGTAAATCTGTTGACCAGTTCTTGAATTTACGGTTATGTAACACACCAACAAATAGCAAGATGTTTGTATTAAAATTAAGGATTTAAAAATTGTTTAGTTTTGTTTTGATTTTTATCACTGACTGATATCAGCTGGTAAATTATTGAAGGACTTAGTAACTGATTCATTCTAGTCCGGTAATTTCTCGTAGTGTACATCTATAACTAAATAAAAATCTATTGAAAACCTTCAGATATTACAGCCATCATAGTATATTCAGGCAACTGATTAGATACTTGATAAAAAACATTCTCAACTTTGGTCATTTCCAGATATCGTCCAAGCATTGTCTAATAACACTGATGACATCTACCACACCCTCGGCATGTCATTATTCTACCGGCTAGAGATGAAATAGGATGATTACTGAAAATTCTAGTTGCTTGACTTCCCATCAAGTTTTTTAGTGAATAGAATTCTCACTACTCTGAAAAGAACGAACCTTTATAGAAATAAAAACATTGGTCTTAGATTATTGGAATAGCTTCATATTGTTAAAGTTATTGCAAATTTGTTAGTGTATTTAGATTGCCGTCGTCCTTTGTGACTATAATTGTTTAATTTTACTCATTTTTTTGTTTAGTAGTGTATTTCGTGTACTTTGAGTGTATAGGATGTAAACTAACTTTTGCTTAGAGTTTAAGTTAATAATAATACTCATATTTTATCTAAATGAACTCTGATTTTAAATAGCACAAGTAATGGTGCGATAACTAAATATTCCATTCCTAAAAAAGTGTATACAGTTGAAAAAAAGACTGACGAATCAATACAAACTTCACGTATAAGTTTTGTTTAATAATCTAATATTGAACCAAACAATCAGGGACTGATTGAAATAGATTAGAAGAGTATTTGAATGAAGGTAGTAGCTCCTACATTCAAATACTCTTTTAAGCATCAAATAATTCATGAAGATGTAATATATTGGGTGTTATCTTAATAGTCTGAAAGGCAGCATGCCTGACAATAAGTCTGATAGTTCTGCATTTAGTCTTTGAATTAGCTCTCGGTGTTCGCTTCTGGAAAGTTTCATACCAGGGCTAAACAACTGTCCAATGACCTCTAATTTTCAACAGTTTTCCATTTGGAGTTAGTCCACGATGTAAACTACGAATTAAATACTCTACGAACTTCTTACAGTATCAACTCTTGATAAGTTAGAAACTCTGGCTCATTTCTCTAGCTAAATAGACTTTAAGCAAATCGTTTACGCTTCCTCCAGTCCTCCGGCTAAGATTTTATTCTGTTCGTAAATGAGCTTATAAAAATAAGCCAAACTTTACAAAACTATCTTTTTTGATATTATAATGTTTTCAACTGCTCAGACGAAATGATTTTGTCAGAAGGGGTTTTTGTGGAGATTTTAGTAATTTCAATAGTTGAAATCATGAGCCAATTGAAGCTAGACCACCATGGAAAACCTGGAAGCACTGGACGGCCGTTTCGTCCTAGTATGGGACCTCAGCTCTGCGCATCCACGATCCCGCTCCCCGTGAGGTCCGAACCCAGGACCTATCATTCTCGCGCGCGAGCGCTTAACCATTGGGCCACTGAGCCGGTGGTGCAATTTTGTGGGTTGGTTGAAGTTAAACATTAACACCTTTAAATGCCGGCTTAGTGGTCTAGTCGATAAGCGCTCGCGCGCGAGACTGATAGGTCCTGGGTTCGAACCCCGCGAGGAGCGGGATCGTGGATGCGCAGTGCTGAGAGGTCCCATACTAGGACGAAACGGCCGTCCAGTGCTTCCAGGTTTTCCATGGTGGTCTAGCTTCAATTGGCTCATGATTTCAACTATTGAAATTATTTTGGTCAAAATAGTCGGTTATTTTTACTCAGACATTTCTTACAATCAAAATTTGGTAAATGTCATGATGTTCATTTCAGTATAATCGTAAATTATGTAACCTACGAGTTTGTCCTTGAAAATAACTGACAAATCAATAATATATGTTATCGATCTCCACTGTAGTGTTTGACAGAATGCCAAATCACTAGTGACATAATCAAGTAACATTTGACGTTCTTTGTTAGTTAGTTAAGGTTTTATAACATTTCAAATTATAATGAAACCAAGTCACGTTAAACTGGAATCCAGGTAAATTATAAGAAGCATTAAAAAATGTGTTTTTTTATAATTAACTTATTTTATCAACTAACGTCATAAATAATGTTAATTTATAGAACATCTAAAAATAATGATTTAACTTTAGCAATAGAAGTGTTACAACGAAATTTATAATATATCAATGGTTATCGTGAATTGTTTGGAGTTAGACATTAACACCGTTGAAAGTCAACCCATTGTTCGAACGGTTAAGCGTTCACGCGTGAGACCGAAGGTCCAGGGTCCGAGTCCCGCGTGCAGACTCGTGGATGTACACTTTTGAGGGGTCCAATGATAGGAGGAATCGGTCGTCCAGTGCTTTCAGGTTTTCAATGGTGGTCTAACACTAATCGGTTCATGATCCCAATATAAATGATTACCTATTTTACTAAAAATTATTTTTAAACTATAAATAAACCATTATTTTAAAAATAAGCATGTTTTCAACATATTTATCATCGATAAGTAATTGAAAACATGGACCAAGAATAAGATAGTAATTAAATTTTCCATTTTTTTCAACAATTGTTAAAAAAATCAATCCATGTTGTAAACTATAAATCAAGCAACCTTAAGAAATTCATTTTCTCAATAATAATCCTCTGTTCAACAGTGTTGATCTTCGTGTCAGTCAGTCAGCTACAACGTAGGACTATGCACATATATGCATCGGTCCAAATTGCCACACCTCACTCATTAGCACAACAAGATGAACACCGGATTTATAGAAGTAGTTAATTCAGTGGTAGTAATATATAAAAGAAAGATTACATATATGGACATAGTACAGGAAGAAAGAATTAGTTCAAGGAAAGAAAGATACGAAGCGATTTTAATCTTACAGTTTAAGGGCAGACAGAGAGTGTATACACCTTTGTTATTGTGATCGATTCTGAGCCATGTCACCCAGAGTCTCCAAACATTGGTTACGATAGTTATGCGGACCCCAACCAAGTAGTCTGTATCTACCAAAATGGCTAAGACTAGAAGCTAGTGACTCCCAACCATCCCCAACACTAGTCAGCATTGCGCGTCGTGGTAATCGGTGTTCAAGCACACGTAACACGTGACCCAACCATCTCAGTCGATGAAGATTCACAACTTCATCAGCTGGTTTACCATCATTCCCTAATACCCTACGTCTAACCTCACTATTACTTACCCGGTGATCCCAGCAGATGCGAGCAATATTTCTAAGGCATTTGCGGTCAAATACTAGTAGCTTACGAGTATCTTCTACTCTTAATGACCACGTTTCGCAGCCGTAAAGTTGATCTATGTGAATAACTCTCAAAGATTTAATTAAAACATGTAATCCTGTAAACTCTCAACCATGTCAAGAGTGAGACAAATATCACTGATGAGATTGAAGGATCATGAACACTATATATCCGGTGTAAAATTGTCACATAATTCGTAGTTTATGTTAAGTTTTCTTAGTACTTTTAACAGATTTTCTTAACATAGTTTCGAGACTTAATTGTTAAAATTATATGTAACTATCCTAAAGTATGATGCAAATTAAAGAACATATACTGAATGTAAATATAGTTCATTTTGAGGAGAAAGTATTTTTAAATTATGATCGAAGGATATAAATAAAGAGAATAAATGCAAATTTTATTTCCCTTTCGAACTTGAAATTACTTACCAGATAATCCTACCCTTATTACACGTACATGATAAGCATTTATCAATGACATAAGCTTCTGAGAACTAGTACTTGCATCAGGAGGCGATGTATCATATGACACAAGAAAGAAGATAATGGAAAAGAATTCGTTATAAACTAAAAATGAAGCGAAACCACTTCTGAATACACATTGATTATTATGTTTCATATACACTGATCAACAGCGAGATTTGAATAAATTACATTGAGTACCACTTGACATGGACGGACTAATCAATAAATGCCTGTGTAAACAAACACAAATTTACAAAATCATGAAGTTAAATGACTATAATCAACAAATATAACTAATTAACAAAGTTATAAAATTACTGTTTCTTAAAAGTATAATAAAATATCCATAGACGATTGAAGAAAATCAATTTTA